CTCCAACGTAGACAGTGTTGGCGGCTTGGTCGCAGAGAAGAGCGTTAACCTGACCTGACAAACCAGCCAGAGGTGTGATCTGGGAGGTGTTGGGGTTGAACAAGGCAATGCCCTGTGACTGAATGCCATCCAAGCTCGTGAAATTACCACCAATTACCACTCCCTGCATCGTTCCATTGTTGAGCGTGAATGTGCACATGTCGTGAATTGAGGCATCAGTTGAGATGAGCGACGCAAAGGCGCCATTGGGAAGCTGGGAAAGCAAGGACTCGCTTCCATTTGTGCTGTAAGGCTTCTCATTCTGCTCCTCAAACTGGTAGAGGGAGATGCCATTGAAGTCGCCCGCCACGCCTATTCTGCCAAGCTGCGAAAGGTCGAGGTTTGCATCGGAGACTGGAGTGAACTGGATTGCTGCCACTGAGGAGGGTGCGAGAGCTGCCACTGCAAGGAGATTTGCCCACTGACTCCGGCGCGCCGAGGGGCGCTTACCGAGAGCTAAGCGCATCGCTATTGCTGTTCAGTCGACAGCAGGGTGATCGGCTGGGTGCTGTGAATGCTTGGTATCGAAGCTGTTGAATCGAGAATTTTTAATGCTTGAGAATCGGACTGGGTATCGCGTCGCATTTGCAGAAAACTATTCTTGGGTGCTGGCCATGAGAAGGATACTCTCTACTGCTTCGTTTGATCGGTCGGGCTCGGAGGCGCGTCAAAAATCGGTGCTGCGAAATCAAACGGAGAGAAGGAGTCGACTCGGGTCGAGTCGAGTCGGAAGATGAGGATTTAGCGAATAATCGGGGTAAAAACGAGCGTCTGGTGTCGGATGAGAGAAGAATAAGAAGAAAAAAAAACAGAGCCTAGTTCGTCGCCCAGTTCTATCGTCGGACAAGAAATGTTAGAACTGAGTTGCGGCCATTTGACGGCAGCGACGATTCCTATTCTTCCCCCTGCTCTTTGTCGGCGCAGTGTTTTGTTGTTTGTTCGTGGAGAGGCAGACGCAGAGAGGGAAGGAAAGAGGCTGAGCCGCCAGACGAGACGGGATCTGGAATGGAAGGTGCGGACCCACTTGCACACCTGTACCTGTCTGTACCTGCGCCAGGGAAATTGGTGGTGACTTTAGGTTGCACTTACCTCCTATCAAAAGCACTGACACCTTTTTCGGTCGGTGGAGCGGTAGGTACGTATCCGTACCTAAGGTAGTTGCGGACACGGCTCCACGGTTGCTGATTGTGTTCGGATGGACTGGCAGTCGATTTAGACTGGCTTGGGGCAAGCTCGACGACAGCAGGCCGCCAAACGTGAAATGAAACAGAAGATTGATGAGAGACCTAGTGAACCGTTTTGTGTCGGTCGTTGGTTGGCGTCTCAGCGAATAAGAAATTTTTACCGAATGTCGAATGAGAAAGGAGCAAAGTGAATGACTGTAAGGTGGTGCCCTAAAGAGGTCAAGGCACTGAGTGAGTGTGGATGTGGAAGTCGCAGCTGCTGACGAGAAAGAGAGAGAGAGAGAGAGAGGGAGGGAGAGACAGGAGTAGGGTGGGAGTCCGGTGGGAATCTGGTTCGGTGTGGATTCCAAGAGGTGGAATTGGAAAGAGTCGCGTGCAAAAGCTTCGAGAAATGAATGTACTACGTTGTCGACGTGGATTGATGCTTGTCTTGTGTTTGTCAACCGTAGTGGACCGCCGTAATGTCTCGCTGAGGTGTCGCCTCTTGCCGTGACACGAAGTGTCTGTGCCAGGTCGGTTAGATACGAAGTAAGGTATCAGGAGAAGAGAAAGCAGTCGTTGGGGAAAGCCGGTGACGCCACGGGAACTAAAAGTCTCCAGGAGAAATGGCTCTAGTTGGATATCGACCAATGAATGTTACTGAGAGGGACGACCAGCGCTGTCCCAAATCTTAGATCTTTGGAAGAGCTTCGAATGTCGATTTCTTTCCCCTTGATCCAACGGCACTAAGGCAGTGCTCAATTCGATTTTATTTTGTTGGCGCCCCCCTATCGCTTGCTCTGCACTGCTCCAGGCGAGGATTCAATGTCCTATGGTATGGTTTGGTTCCTGCAGGTCGCTACGGGCTGGGTTGTCTTGCTGCCTTTCTTTCTTTTTTTTGCCCTGTTTCTGCTTGTTTGTGGTGAGTATCTGGCCTAGCGTTAAAGGCCGAATAGATGGCAGAAAAGTCCCGGCAGGGCGCCTGATCGAATCCAGAGAAAAATCACCAGAGCGCCGATAACAGTTTGGGTTGACGAATGTCAGACAAGAATGTTAGACAAGCGTTCTGATCGCCGACGGCCGAGGCGCGTTCAGGGTCTTCCTCAGCAAGACCAACAGTGGGATATTAATATGTTGCATCCGTGGTTTCGACCTTAAAGCTACTCATGAAGTGAAGGATTGGTAAATGAGCGTCAGAGACGTTCCGCGACGGGAATCTCGGGGGTCGAATGGGGTTCGAGATGTGCGAATGTCGAAGGAGACAGAGAAAGAGGAGCAACCAACGAGGAAGAAAGTGCCTCAGTCACAACCTACAGGTCACAACGGGGGAGCCACTTTCACATTACCTCTTTGCTCCTCCAAGCGCTTTTAACAGGCAGGGGTCGATGTCGAGAATGCCGGGGGTGGTATCGGCGGCAGACCACAAAAAGGACTGGCAAAAACCTGGATTTAGAACGGCGATATGCTTGACGAATGTACGAATAGAGGTTCGCCCTCCCTCGCAAACAGATCACAGAGAAAGCATCCACGTTTCCATCAAAAAGCCATGACTAGAAGGCCAAACACAGCTTATTCAACCTTGTCGAAAATGAGATATTCATCCGCTGGTTCGGGACCCCAAGACGTTGAGAGGGAGGCCCTCTCTCCTTTCCAGTCTCCCACCCTATTCCTAATCTGGGACACGATTGACTGAAGTCTGACGGCCGCCCGCGGTGCCGCGGTCCAGGCCTGGCATCGCACGTTCTTTCCTGCAGCAGGTCCCGGCTGCCGCTACGCCCAATACAGCAGAGACTGAGAGACCAGACGGGCACGCATCTTGCCAGAAGTTGCATTCGCATTTGCAGCCAGGTATCCGTACGGAACACCATACCTTATTTAGCGCCGGGTACCCCCAATCATCCTATTACGCAGTACGGAGTTGCCGTTCAAAAGTTTTGGCTGAAGAGTACAGAGGCGAAAATCGACGCTAATCAGCGCTAAGAGTGATTTTACCCCACTTTAAACCGCGCCTTACTTAATCGGGCTAGCCACCTTTTATTTACGGCCTAAATTAATATATTTTGCTTTTTAACTATAAGGCCCTTAACTTAGCCCTAATTAACTATTAATTTCTATTTTATATCGCTATTCTTATTAAATTATTAAAATTATTAAATATTTATTATTATAAAAACTTTTTTTTATTATAATATTTAAAAAATATATATTTTTTATTATTAAAATAGTAATTTTAACTTTTTATAACCTTATTAATAACGAAAAATTTATTAAAAAAATCTTAAAAGCTTTTTTTTAATTTATTCAAATTATTAATAATATTATTTTATATATTAAAAATAAAAGCTTTAATTTTACCGCTTTTATTTTTTAAATTTTTTTTAAGTATTATAAAAATACCCTTTAAGCCGGCCGATTTAAAAAAGTTATTAAAATAATTATTATATTTATTATTAATAAAATTTATTATAATGTTACGGCTAGCTAATTATAATAAAGTTTATATTAACAAAAATTGGGGCTACGATATTTATAAATAATAATCGTCGTAAAAATAATTTTAATAAAACTATTATTTATAAATTGTAAAATAAATAAGGCTTCGGTAATTAATTGTAATCTTATTAAATAAGTTCTTAATAAAAATAGTTAAAAATAATTATTAAATTTAATATAAAAATTAATTATTAAAAAAGTTATAAAAGTTTATCCTCAAGCTTAATTTAGGTTATCTTATATATAAGTCTTAATTATAAATATATCTTTTATAATATTTTATTTATTATTATTTAACTATTTATTAAACGGTCGTCCGTCCTATATTTTTATAATTGTTTATTTTATTTATTTATAAGCGTCCGTTTTTTATTTTATTATATAATTATAGTTATATAACTTATTTATAATTCTTTTATTTTAAAAAAGGCCGTTTAAGTTTTTATTATTATATATATAATATAATAGCCGCTATAGGTCTTATAAAATAGGGCTTTAATTTAATAATACGTATTAAGTTATAATATTAACTCCTTTTTTTAAAAGTCTAGTTTTTAGGCTTATAAATAAGTTATTTATTCCTAAGTTAAAGAATTATTAAGTATTTTTATTAAAATATATTAACGCTATATTAAATCGAATTAAAAAATTAAAATCGTAAATAATTATATTTCGTTACTATTTATTATATATTATTCGTTTTTTTAATAAAAGTATAAAAATAATACCGTATTTAAATTATCGTTTTTAAAATATTTATTATTTAATTCTTTTTAATTTCGATATTTACGGAATATACTATTGTTTAAGTATTTTATATAATATTTTTATTAATATTATTTATATTTATAAGTTTCTTAAGGATTATTTTTTACGGGTCCCGATTAATAAATATAATAAATCGTTTAATAATAAAGTCCGATCGTTTTAATTATAAAAAATAAATAAAAGAGTCGCGGTTTTAAAAAAAAATTATAAAATTATAAAAAAAAGCTAAAGTTTATTAAAAAGCTTAAGCTAAATTAAATAAATCGTTATTTAAATTAAAACGTTTTTATTTTTAAAAATAAATAGTATTTAAAAAAAGTCGTATTATATTAAAAGAATTTTTTAAAAATACCGAGAGTATTTCTTTAGTAACTTAAGAGGCGTAAGTTAATAATATTTTTAATATTATTAATTAAGACGCCGTAATAGTTAAAAGTTTTAAATTTAAGTTTAATTTTAGTACTCCTTAAGAAGCTATTAAAAATTTTAAAAGTTTATAATAGGTTCTTATATATTATTTTTATATCCGTAATTTTTTTATTTAATAAGGTACTTTTTATGTTTTTTTTTAATTTGATAATCGATAACTCGTTCGACTTTATATTTTAATTTATTAAGTTTAATAATAATATAATTTTTAATATATAAGTTTTTAAATATTAGTTTTAAAAATAAAATATAAAAAACCGGGTAGTATCGTATTATATTTAAAAGTTTTAATTTAAAATTAATTAATAAAACTTTTTTAATAATTTCGAAGGGTCTAAGTTTTTTATAATTTAATTTATCGCTTAATCGTTTTATTTTAATATTATAGCGAAAGAGATATATATTATTTCCTTTTTTTAAAATTAATTTATTAATTTTTAATTTATCGGCGTATTTTTTTATACGTTACTGTATAAACTTAAGGTCTAAAAAGGCTTCCTTTTAAATCTTTTTAAATTTATTTACGTTTATTACGGCTTTTATAATTTATAGTCCTTCGTATACTTCTCTATATATAGTTAATTAAAATCTATAATTAAAATAAAAAAGGGATTTTTTTATGCTTTTATTAACTACGCTATTATATATAAACTAAGCTATTAATAATAGTATTACTTAATTATTTTAGTTATAATTTATATAATAGCAGAGGTATATTTTAAAAATTTAATTGATTTTTTCTGTTTATTTATTAATTTATAAATAAAAAAAAGTTAATAATTTATAGTTTATACCGAGCTACGAGATTAAAAATTTTTAAAACTTAATAGTAAATAGCTTATTTTTATTAAAAATTATTTCTTTAGGTAAACTATAGTTAGTAATAATTATTTTAAAGAAGGTATATGCTAATTCCTTAGTATTATTTATTTCTTTATATAGTATAAAATAAGTAAATTTAATAAGTTAATCGACGATAACTAAGATACTATCGTATTATATATTCGTTAATAGTTTTTTAGACTTTAATAGTTTAATAATAAAGTCTTAAAAGATTAAGTACTATGTTTCTAAGGGTATTAGTAATAGTTATAGCTTTTTATAAGGTTTATAAGGGCTATTTTTGTTTTTTTTATAGATATCGTAGTTTTTAATAGCTTTAACGATTTTTATTTTTATAGCGGTTTTATTATAATATTAATAAATCCGTTTTTATATTTTTATAATACTTTAGTAACCGTATACTTAAGTATTATAAATTTTTATAATAAATTTAAGAGTTATTTTTTTAAACGGGTTAATATTAACTTTTCTAACTATTATAAAGAGTTTTATAATAAGTATAAGATTATTATTATCGTTGTATTTAAAGATTATTTATATTTCTTTAAGGACTATAACTTTATAATTAAGTCGTTTATTAAAAACGTTTATTTTACCGTTTTCTGAACTTTTTTAATAAATAATTTAAAAATTGAATTTTAATAAAAATTCGCTCTATTTAATTTATCGTTTATTTAAATTTTTATTTATTATAAAGTTCATAAGGTTCTTATAATTTATATAAATAGTAATTTCGTATTTAGTTTTTAAAAACTATGGTTTTTATTTTTCAAAAGCTTTAATTATAACTATTAATTTTTTATCATAAATTTACTAATTTAATTTTATTTTATAAAACGTTTTAAAATAAAATATATAAAAATAAAGTATTCCTTATTAATCTCGTTATTTTAAAATAGCTTTTATAACGAAGTCCGAGGTATTAATCTCGACTTCGAACGATTTCTCTAAGTCCGGAATTATAATTATTAATTCCAAAGTGATTAAGTCCTTAACTTTATTAAAAGCTTTTTTATATTTTTTATTTTAGATAAAGGTTACGTTTTTTTTTATTAAGTTATTAAAAAGTTTAATAATATTAGCGTAGTTTTTAAAAAATCGTTAATAAAAGTTAACGAATTTTAAAAATAACTATACGTTTTTAACGCTAATAAGTATAAGCTAGTTTTTAACTATTATTACTTTAAATATTTATATATAAATTTATTTTAATATAATCGTATAACTAAAAAAATCTACTTTTTATATATAAAATTTATATTTATCGGGCTTAGTAAAAAGCTTTACGTTTTAAAGTTTTTAAAATATTATATAGACGTATTTTTTATATATTTTAAAGTTAAAAAAGAAGATAAGGATATTATTAAAATAAACGACTATGAAGATATTGACGTACTCCTTAAATACGTAATTAACTATTATTTAAAATATAATAAGTATATTAATAAATTTAAAAAGTATAATTAAGTACTTATAAAATCCTTTACGGGTTCAAAATACTATCTTCTATTCGTCTTTTTTTTTAATTTTAATCTAATTAAATACTCTTTTAAAGTTTATTATAATAAACTATTAAGCTTTATATAATATTTCCTTAAGTTCTGCGATAAGGGGTAATAAATAATAATTTTTTTTAATAATTTCGTTAAGTTTTTTATAATCGATTATAAATCTAAGCTTTTTTTTACTTTTTTTAAGTACGAAGAAGATTAGTATTTTTATTAAAGAAGATAATAATTTAATATAACCTTTCTTAAATCTATCGTTAATATACTTATTAAGTTCGTTATGTTTAAATTAATTTATAAAATATAATAAATAGAACTTAGGTTATATTTTTTTTTTAATTTAATCTTTATATCCTAACTACTATATTTTAATAATCTTATTTTTTCTTTTAAAACAAATAGTTTTATATAAATCCGGTACTTTTTAAATATAATTTAAAATAGGTCCGATTTTTAATTGTTCATACTAAGTATAAACATCCTAATAAGTTTTATCATTTTAATAAAAGCGATATATTTAGTTTATTTTTATTCATTAGGTATTACGTAAGACTTATTTAAACCTTTTTTATTAAGTCGTTTAAGAACTAAGTTTATTTAATAAAGTTAGCCGGTTCTTTAATTTATCTATAGATTATACTTTCGTAACTACGAAATTCCTAAAATAACATCGGTATCTCTGATTTTTATAATATTATATTTTAATTATTTTAATTAATTATTAATATATATTGTAAAGTATATAGTCTTTTAATTAATATATCCGTTGTTATAATTAACTTATTCTCTTTTTATTATTTATAAAGTATATAAATTCGTTTTCTATATTTATAATAGTTTATATTTATTTATTATTTTTAATAAAATAAAAATTCCTTAAACGCCGTTATTAATAATAACGTTTATATTATATCCGTTTATTTAAAATTTAAATTATAAATATTTTTTATTAAGGAGTATTATAAAATATAAAAATTTATTTATTTTAGTTACTTTTTATTATTCTTTTATAATTAGCGTATTTAGTTTTTTAATATCTCAAAAGTTAATACTTATCTTTTTTTTATAAGCCGTTTATAATTAATTATTAAATCGGGACGCTTTTATCTTTTAATAAATAAGTATAATACGTTAATAATATCGTAAATATCGTTTATTTCTTTATTAATAGGTTCTCTCTTTTTAAAAAATAATTTATAATTTTTAAATATTTTAATATTAGATTATATATTTAAAATATATCGGTTATATAAGTAGTTTTTTAAATCTTTAATAAGCTAATCTAGTTCTCTTTAAAAGCTTATAGATTTTTATTATTTTAACTATTTATTTAAATCGGCTTCTTTTTTAATAATAAAATCGTTAATATCGGGTAATATCTTATAATTGATTTTTAATTAAGTACGTCGTTAAGCGACGTCGCGAGGTTCGTTTAAATTATAAAACGATTATTAACTTATTAGCTATTCGTAATTTAATATATTAATATTATTTAAAAAGGGGTCGTAATCTAGTCCTTTGGTATTAAATTTTATAAATATATCGTCGATAATTTCTTTATTTAAATTATCTAACTTAGTATTTTCTTTAAATATAAAAAAGTTTTATTTTAAACGGAGTATATCGTCTTTTATTATTATTTTAAATTATTTATATATTTATTATTTTAAAATAATAAGGACTATTTTTATAATTGGATATTAAAGAATATAAACGTCTACTATATAATAAGCCTCGTTTAGTTTTTTAATATATTAATAATAACATTTTTTTAATATTTAAAGTCCGTATATTAAGTATATAATATCTATTTTTTTATTGATTTTGTATTTTAATTAGAGGAGGTTTTCCTTTATTTTAACCTTTAGTTACTTTTAAAATCGTTATTAAAATAGGGTAAGTATTATTTTTATATTTAGTCGCTTTTTTTTTAATAATCGGCTAACTTTATAATAATTAATTAATATACGGATATAATCTTTATTATAATCTTTTATTATTAAAAGGCGATGTTCGTAATATTAAATTATTTTATTAAATATTCGTCGTATTATATAAATAGATTTATTTAGAATCCGTATTTTACGGGCTAGGATTTCGTTTTTTAGTTAAAATAAGTCGTCTTTATTTTTAACTATTATTTTTTTTTTAATTTATTTCCTATTATCGTAAGGGTTTACGCTCGGTTAAAAAAGCTAATAGGTTATATTTTAATTACTTCGTATATTATTAATAATATTTAAATATACTCTTTATTATAATCTTCGATAGTTTTTAAATATTAAACTATTTCTTATTTATTTATTATAATAAGGGTCTTATTAAAAGGTTTCTTAGGGTATTATCTTAATTATTTTTTATTATTTTAGTAAATAAGGTAGTTATTATCGTAATATATAGTTTAAAAAAGTGATTTATAAGGTATTTTTTTAAAAGTAATATTAATTTATTTCTTAGGGATAGGTCGTTATTAAATTTATTTAGGCTATTTATAATCTTTAGTTATATATCCTAGCTTATCGTAATTATAATATTTAAATTCTTTTTTCTAATAAGATTAGTCTCGTTTCGTTATATTAAAATCTATAAGTTCGTTATATTATTTATAAGCGGTAGTTTATTAAGAGTTATTATTCTCGTTATAACGGTGTTTTTAATTAAAGTTATATTAAGGTTGCTATTAATATTTACGTCCTAAGTTAGGTTTTTATTATTATTCTTTTTTTTTTTTTTTTTTTTTTTTTTTTTTTGTTTTTTTTTTTTTTTTTTTTTTTTTTTTTTTTTTTTTATTTTTTTTTTTTTTATTTATTTTTTTTTTTTTATTTTTTTTTTTTTTTTTTTTGTAAAAGCGGTTATCGATTTTAATTATGAGTTTAGTATATTAAAAAAAATTGTTTAGTTTATTAATTTTAATAAGTTCGTCCTTAACCTTATTTTTTAATTTTTAATAAAATATAAAAATCTTAATATCGTTAATAAAATTAAGTTAAGTATTAAAGCGTTTAAACTCGGCTAAATAGTCTTTTATTAATTTAATTTATTAAAATTATAATATATTGCGCTTAATTTATCGTTTTTTATTTAGATTTTAAAAAAGCGATTTAAAAACTTTTTCGAACTTATTAAAATTATAATAAATATTTTATATTTCGATAGAATATTTATTAAAAGTTTCCTTTTTAAAATACTTTTCTTAAAAAAGTTCGAACTATTTAAAAGCTCATCTTTTAAAAAAGCTAGCGGCGTATATAACCTTCTCGATTTCGTTATTAAAATTTTTTTAATAAAAGTTTTAAAAGTTTTTAATTTAAATTAAAAATTTTTTTAAAATTCTAGGGGTCTTATTAAAAATAATAAGTACGTTAAGTTTAAACTTTTATTATCTTTTATTAAAAAGAGTAATAACGATATTAACGGTATTTTAAAACGTATTTACTTAGTTAATAAAGTTTAAAACTTTTTAATGTTTATTTTTAAGTCTTTTAAATATAATATTAAATATTTTTTATATTTTTATAATATTATAGTTGTTCTTAATTTAAACTTTTATTAATTAGGTAATAATAATATTAAAAAAGTCCGTTAGTTTTTTATTATATTAAATACTTTAATTAATAACGTAACGTATTCGGGCGTATATTATTTTATTAAGGACCGCGTTCCTATTAAAGTTATACTTAATGTTAAGTATTTTTACGTTTTTTTTAGCTTAGGCTAGCTCGGTATTTAAAGCCTAAGGCTTTTTACCCTTATTAAAAAAGGATTTAATAAATGTTATTTATATTATTTAATAAGTTTTTATAAAATCGACTTATTAAATAAAAATAATTAAAATATTACGATTAATTAATCATAATAAGGTTTATATTAATAAAAATCGGGGCTATAATATTTATAAATAATAATCATTATAAAAATAATTTTAATAAAACTATTATTTATAAGTTGTAAAATAAATAAAATTTTAATAATTAATTGTAATTTTATTAAATAAGTTTTTAATAAAAATAATTAAAAATAATCGTTAGATTTAATATAAAAATTAATTATTAAAAAAGTTATAAAAGTTTATTTTTAAATTTAACTTAAGCTATTTTATATATAAATCTTAATCATAAATATATTTTTTATAATATCTTATTTATTATTATTCGATCGTTTATTAAACGGTCGTTTGTTTTATATTTTTATAATCGCTTATTTTATTTATTTATAAGCGTCCGTTTTTTATTTTATTATATAATCGTGGTTATATAACTTATCTATAGTTCTTCCGTCCTAAGGGAGGCCGTCTAAGTTCTTATTATTATATATATAGTATAATAGCCGCCGTAGGTCCTGTAGGGCAGGGCCCTAGTCTGGCAATGCGTGTTGGGTCGTAATATATAACTACTACGGCTATAAAAAAAAACTATATTAATATTATTAAAGAGTTTATTAAAAAATAAAAATATCGGCGTTTTTATTATTACTATTTAATATATATTTCGCTACGTTAACTTTTATAAAACTAAACTTATTAAAAAGCTCAATTTAATAAAAAAAAAAAATTTAAATAATATTAAAATTACGCTTATTAAACCTTCGATAATTAAAAAAAATATATAATTAAATATAACTTTAATAATATTAAACTATTATAAAAAAAACTATCGACTTTAGCAACGATTTAATAAAATATATATTTATTTATATATACGAAAATAATAAAAAAGCTTTTTTAAATTTATATTTTAAAATTCTTTTTTATATAGTAAAAAAGGCTTTATTTATATTTAATGGCTTAAGATTGTTATAAAAAAAAAGCTAAATTTAAAATTACTAATTTTAATTATTAATTAAGACTAATTAAATATTAAAAATAAAAGTTAAATATATAAATAAAATAATTAACTTTTTAAAACTAATTTAATTATAAATTAATTTAAATATAATATAAAAATAATAAAAAACTATTATATAAAAAAAAAGATATGAGTTAATATTAATATCATTATGAAATTTTTTTTTAAAACTATTCTTATTTATAAAATTTTTAAACTTTAATACGTTAATTTAAAAAAAAATAAAACGCCAGCTTACAATTATTAATTTATTTATTATATATATAACCTACGTATTATTTAAAAACTATTTTAATATAACAATTCTTTAAATTTAAACCTAATTAAGCCCTATTAACCTTATATAAAAAAAAACTAATTAAGAAGAAAGTACTAAAAA